AAACGGGGGTAAACCCGTTACGGGGGTTCCGAACCAACGGGCCCGTACGGGGGAACTCCTCACACTTCCCCTTCTGGCCCACTTCCCCCTCCCTCTGTCCAGAGAGGCAGCTGGGGCTGGGGGGAGGGGAGCCCTGTCTTCAGTAAAGAAGCTAGGATGGGGGTGGTGGACATCACTTACTTCTTCCTGGGGGTTCCAGCTGGCCCGAGGTGCCCACTAGTGCCTGGCAGGGGCCTCAGACCACCTGAGGGCAGATGACCCGTGCCTGCCCAGTCAGTGGGGTGTGAACATCTGACTACAGGCTGGCTCCCGAGTCATGAGCGCTGACCCCTCCCCCTCCCGGGGCAGCTGCGTACCCTAGGGCCAGGCAGCCCCACAGCCCTGCTGCCGCCCCAGGGCCTTGCTCTAGCCAGACCCGCAAACTCCTTGCTCTCCCACTTGGAGTCCTGGTTGTTCTGCTTATCTTCACCCCAGAAGTAGTTCTAATGTTCACTTGCTCCTCTTCATCTTCATAGTCCCTGTCTGTTGCCAGCATCTCAGCTTTGCACCACAGCCCTACCTGGGCCCAGCCGGCCCTCTTCTCCAACCCCACACCAGCCCATCTCTCCCCTTCCTAAACCTTTCCTGGCTCCCAATGCCCTTGAGTCTACAGTCTAGCTTGGACTCCTTGGCCCAGCACTCAAGGTGCCGAGTATTCTGGTCTCCACATCCCCCAGCCCAGCCCTTCCAGGGCACCTCACCACTGTGCTGCTCGGGGCACTGGGCCCTCTTCCTCCAGGAGGCCTCCCTTGACTACCCCACGTTGTCTGAGAGCACAAAGGCCCCCATCCGCGTGGTGCAGCCCCAGGCATGTGAGTGGTGCATGTGGGTGGCCCACGCCCGGCGGGGACCCCTGGAGAGCTCACATGTTCTTTTTAAGCTTTTTTTGCTGGGGACTTATTTTTTGCCCATGCCTTGCTAGAGGTCAGTATCGAGGTTACATGTGTGGATTTGAATTCTGGGGACAGCCTCATGTCATCCACTCAGTGCCACCTCTGGGAGCGAACATGTAATCAGGCTGAGGAATACTGTTTGGAGGTCACATACGGGGTGTGAGATTCTCCAAGGGTTGTCCACCCAGCTTTATGACCGCCATGGCCCAGCTGCCTCGGACATCATGTCCTTTGCGTTCTCACTGCCATTTCAACAATGAGGAAATCAAGGCTCAGAAGCATTAAGTAACTTGCCCACGGCCACACACTGAGTGACAAACATGGCTTGAGCAACTGCTGTCCTGCGGGATAAGCCTGTGGCCTGGAACACGCAGTGCCGGGCGCCAGTGCTCTCTGCCTGCCCCTTGCCAGATGGTGAAATCCCAGCCCACTGGCCAGCAGTCTTGTGGCTGCTGCCCACGTTTATTCACAGCTGGACAGTCCATCCCCCTCAGCTGGGAGCTTCCCAGTGGGCCTCTGCCTAGCTCGTCTAGGTCAGGAGCTCAGCAGACGGCTGGGTACCGAGTGGGGTCAGTGGGTGCTCGTGGCCTGGGTGACAGTGGCATCTGCTGCCTTCTCAGCAAATGGAGCAGAGTGCTCCTACTGGGAGCCTGGGTTAGCAGGTGGCCTGGGACAGGAAGTCGTCTCCCACGGGGCCCCAGGAGAAGCCCCAGGAGCTGACACACTGACAGGAAGAGGGAGGCTGCGGCAGAGCTGGAGGTTGTAACAGCCAACCAGAAAGACCAGAAAACCCAACCGACCATTTCCCCTTCGTCCCCCAGTGTGGTCCCTCCCTGAGTCATAAATCCAGGTGGCCCAGAGGAGACGCCCTAAGCCCCCAGAGCGGGGCCCCAGCTAGGCAGCTCTTTCTGCAGCCGAGTACGGGCAGGCTGGGTGCTGGCAGCGGTGGTGGGAGACGCCAAGGCCCTGCCTCGGGGGTCAGAGGCTGAACCTGCCCAGGAAGCAGGGGGCAGGCGAGGCGAAATGGAGACCGAGACCAGAGAGGCTTGTGCTTTAATGGCAGCTAGGGTAAAGGGGGGCAAAAATAGTAATTCTGGGGGGCACGGGGAGCAGGCAGCCAGGTCCAGCCTGGCCCAACCCAGGCCAGCTGGGCCAAGGATGCTGGCTTCTTGTCCATGGGGCTGGTGTGTGTGGGAGGCGGCTGGTGCCCCAAGGACGGAGGCCCCGTGGAGAGGAGGAGGGATGACAGGCGGCTCAGAAGTCCATGGAGCTGTGGGCCAGGTAGTCCTTGCGGCCGATGTTGCTGACCTGCTTCGTCTGCATAGCCTCGAGTTTGGGGCAGTCGGTGATCCGATGGCCCAGGCCCCCACAGAAGGCACAGCCACGCTCTCCTGGGGGCATGTGGAGCGGGGTGGGGAGGGAGGGTCAGCACGCTGAGGGGGCCAGGCTCCATGCCCCAGACCTCGGCCTCCCGTCAGACCTCCAGTCCACTGAGTGGCGGTGTGGATTCGTTTCGTGGGGTTCCCATCCTGCCCCCACTGAACAGCGTCTCCCACCCCGCCTCACCTCCAATGTCCAGCATGGACTCGTCCCCGCAGTGCAGCACCTGCAACACAGGTGGAACCTTCTGCTTGGCCTCCAGCAGCAGGGCTTTGAGGTCCATCAGCACTGACTCGTCTGTGGGGGCAGTGGGGAACCATCAAGTCCAGCCCTGGGCCCTGTAGCCAGGACCCGGGTGGTCACAGGTGGAGGACCCGGCAGATGGCTGAGGCAGCCCTGGTGGCAGACTCACCGCAGGCCTTGTTGATGAAGGTGGTGGCGATGCCCGTGTTCCCTGAGCGCCCAGTGCGGCCGATTCGATGCACTGCAGAGAGAGGGAACAGAGCCTCTGGCCGACTGCCCAGGGCTGGGGCCTAGCCCGCGCCCCCTGCCCCCACAAGCCCCGCACCGTAGTTCTCGATCTCCTCAGGCATATCATAATTGATGACGTGCTGGATGGCGGGGAAGTCCAGGCCCTTGGAGGCTACATCTGTGGCCACTAGGACATCCTTTTTGCCCTCCCGGAATGCCTCTATGGCCTTGGTCCGTTCCTCCTGGTCTGGGAAGGGTCAGGCAGGAGCTGTTAGAGCGATAGCAGGAGTCTGGGGAGGAGTGGCAGGCCAGCCCGGCAGGGGAAGGGATATGATGAGGGGCTGCTTTGGCAGCGGGGTCCATTCATGCCTGTGCAGGCACCACCCTGACCTTTGCCCCCATGGATGGCTACGGCCTCGACCCCCTTGAGCAGCAGGTACTCGTGGATGGCGTCCACATCTGCCTTCTTCTCTGCAAAGATGAGCACCTGTCCGGAAAGGCCACGTCCTGTAACAGGGACTGACCGCTGGGTGCCCCTGCTAACCTCCCCCAGCACGCTGCCCTGGGCCAGCCTGGCTGGAGGCACTCACGGGTGGCGGCGTCTTCTGCAGGCACTCCAGCAGGTACACCATCTTGGCTTCCTCTTTCACGTATTCCACTTCCTGCCACCACCAGGATCAGGTCAGGAGGTCCTGAGAACAGGCTCACCAGCCGTGACCCTGCCCCAGAGGCCAGGCCCCCCAGTCCCGGCTAGGTGACCAGAAGCTTCTTGTCAAGGGTTGGGCACCATAAGACAGCATCCTGCTACAGGCCAGGCCTGTGAATGGAACCACTAGTGCCCACAAGGTGGCCCTCCCCGATCCTGGCTCCAATCAGCCTCAAGGGAGCCTGGCCAGACCCAGCCCCCCCAGGTGAGACTGCCCATGGGGAGCGTTTGCCCACCTGGATGACATCCAGGCTGGCAGCTCCTGCTCGCCCCACATTGATCGTGACAGGCTTTACCAGGGCGCTCTTGGCAAAGTTCTGAATCTTCTTAGGCATGGTGGCACTGAAAAGTAGGGTCTGTCGCTGGCCCTGGGGAAGAATAGGGCTGGGACTGAGGGCACGTGGGGGCCGGGGAGGCTGAGCAGCTGGGACAGCGGGTGGGCAGTGCAGGGCCTCAGGGCCCCCCAGAGTAGAACGTGGTATGCAGGGGTAGGGTGGCAGGAGTGTCCTGGCCACTTGCGGAAGGGCACCTTGAAATAGGAGAAGATGGTACGAATGTCACCCTCGAAGCCCATGTCGATCATGCGGTCAGCCTCGTCCAGGGCCAGATAACGACAGATGTCCAGGCTGACCATTTTCTTCTGCAGCAGATCCATGAGGCGCCCAGGGGTGGCCACCATCATGTGAACGCCACTGGGGACCGAGGAGAGATCCTGAGGTCGAGGCCACCTGCTCAGTCCTACCTAGAGGCCAGCACTCTACCCCTTTCTGCCCTCCAGCTTCCTTCCTGTCTCTCACCTGTCCCTCCTTGTCACTGCCACCACCTTGCCCTGTGGACAGCACACAGCTCTCCTGGAGGGCACTGCAGCGTTCTCAACTACTGCTCTGTTCCACAGCTCTTCCCCAGCCAAGTGGTCACCTCTGCCTGGCATACCCTTCCCCTTTCTCCCAGGTCCCTCCTCTCGCCCCCAAGAGGGCTGTCCTGCATCTTCACAGAGGCCTCAGCCTGTGCTCCTGCACCCCTCTGGAGGACTTAATGGGCTCACTCTCCTGGTACACTGAATTTCTCTTTCCCGTGTCTACATCCTCTCTCAGACTGGCAATGCCTATGAAACAGGGCCTGGGTTTGGTCTGTCCATGACCCTAGACACCCAGTGATGTCTGTCGGGGACCATACTGTGTGGAAAGAGCACAGGTCCAGCCTCCTGGATGGACCCCAATGAAGAACCCTGACCTTCCTGGACACCCAGGGCCCCCCACCTCAGTGCCTTCTCCCTGGAACACCCTGACCCCTTGACCTCCCAGATGCTCCTGTTCCATCTGCAGTGTTTCCACAGTAACTTACTACATCTCTCATTCCCACCCCAGCTGACATCCCCACTAGACTGGGAATTCCTTGAGGGCTGGACTACAGGAGGCCTTGCCAAAGGTCTGTCAAATAGCTAGAGCAAAGGGTTTTTAGCTTGTCTCGGGGCTTTGGGGAGACCCCTGCTTGGGGGTGCCTGTACTCACTGTCGGATGGTCTCCATCTGCTCTTTGACAGACATGCCTCCGATGCAGAGCGCACAGCGTAGGAGCGGCGAGCTGTCCTCCTGCAGTAGGCGGCAGTAATACTCCAGGATGCCGTGCGTCTGCCGGGCCAGCTCCCGCTGCAGGGACGGGAGCAGTGGCTGGCACCAGAAGGTGGCTCCATTGTGCCCTGCCCTCCAGGCCAGCCTATCTTACCGAGGGGCAGATAATGAGTCCATAGGGCCCTTCACGCTTAGAGAAAGGTAGCCTCTTCTCCTGTTCCAGGCAGAACATGATGACAGGCAAAGTGAACACCAGCGTCTTGCCTGAACCCGTGAAGGCAATGCCTATCATGTCACGGCCCGACAGACTGTTGACAGAAGACAGGCTTGAGGGTCAGGTTCTGCGGAATACAGGGACCGCTTCTCATGGAGCACCCGCTCCTCCCGTCACCACCCTCCTCAGGGCCGCCAGCTTCACACTCACATGGTGGGAATTCCCTGGATCTGAATGGGGGTCGGGTGGTGGATGCCTTTCTTCTTCAGGCCTCTCAGGATGGCTATAGAAAAAACCCTGGCATCATCGTTATGTCTCACAGATACTTTATCAGGACCCCAAGGCCTATAAAATTGGCACTATGCCCCTCTGGTTACAAATGAAACTGAGACCCAGAGAAAGAGAGAAAGACAGACAGACTTGTCCAAGGCTTCTAGGCAAAGCGGAGGCAGGATTCACACCCAGGTCTGCTTAAAGCCATCGTCACTTGCCCACTAAAGCTCCCTAATGGCGGAGATTAGTAAAGATCACAGTTGCAGCAACTGAAAGAGGAGCATTAAAGAAGCCCGTCTCAAATCCCTCCATCCCCACTGGCGAGGGCCAGTGCTGCAGGAGGGGCCAGTGCTGGGTTCAAGAGGGGCTAGAAGGCAACTTCACAGATGTCCACCATTAAAGTGTGGTGAGGCTCCCAGTTCCCAGGTACCTGCAGGAAATTTCATTTCCTTGAAGCTCTTGATGGGTGGGGGGATACCATCTCCCTCTACCAAGATGTGGTACTTCCTCCGTACACGCTCATGCCGCTCTTCAGACATGCTCAGGACGTAACGGGGGGGTGTCCAACTGTGGGTGGGTGGTAAGGGTCAAAATAGCCCCCTGGCATAGCTGGCTTTGTGGTGTCCCTGCCAATCTCAGCCACATACTGTCCAAAGTAATGGTGACTGACTTTCCACAGACTGGTAGGACGTACCTAGTTTTGATCGGGTCGTCGTATGTGATTCCCTTAGCCATCTCCTTCACTGACATCAAGGCTGAGGAGAAAGATGTGGCTCAGTGCTGCTCCTGCTCCCCTGAAGCCAGGCCCCTCGAGATATAGCATGCCTGGGGTCGGGGGAGGAGGCTCAGGCCACCTGCTCTCTGCCCTGGCTACAACCATACCTCGACCCTCAGCCACACTCTCCAGGATTTTCTCCTCTTCCTTCAGCTGCTTCTCCTTGGCAGACTCCTTGCGGGCTGACAAAAGCAGCAGCAGGTGTCAGAGAGACACCATGGCAGAACACAAAGCTGAGCCTCCCGCCTGCTGCCCAGCCCACCTTCAGCCTTCTCTTTGAGGTGCTGGTGCTGATCCAGGAGGCTGACGTTGGACTGAGGGCCCAGCGGGATGTCGTCCTCATCTCCCCGGGGCTCGCTCCCGCTGTCCTGCTGCTCCTCCTCCGCAGCTCCCTTGCGCCTTCGCTGCAGCAGCTTCTGAAGCTGAGGTTTCACCAGCGCCCCTCAGGGCCGAGCCCAAAGAAGAGTAGGGCATCGGGTCTAGGGGCCTGAGTCAGGACCCTAGCTTTTGGGAGAGAATTCTGTGCCCCGAGGCGCAGAGTTGCCCCACCCCTCAGATCAGGTTGCCAGGTCCTCGTCTGCCATGCACTGACACCTCACTCCGCAGGCTGGGGGCCACCCCCATCCAGCCGCCAACCCCCCATCTCCTGCGCTCATTCGTCCCCCGACCTGGGGCCCTTACCAGCAGTTGTCGGCGCTGTCGCAGCGGCACGTAGGGCACGTAGTCCTCATCATCATCCTCTGCCTCGGAGCGGCTTCCGGCGGCAGTCGCCTCGTCGATGCGAGCCCGCTGCAGATACACACAAGTTAAGTCCGGACCCCGCCGCCTTCGCCGTCGCTCGCCAGCCTCGCGGACCCCAGCCTCGCTCCCACCTTCCGCTCGGGTTCGGAGTCCTCCATCCTTTGCTGCACGCATGCGCGCCCGGCAAAACCCCGCCTCACCTTTGAGTGAGGTCCAATCAGATGTGAAGAAGCGGACGTCGGCGCCTAGCAACAACCTCAGAATGCCGGATCGCGCAGAGGGACAAACTTCCTCCAAGTCCCGGTCTTGAGCCGCAGAGTCCCGGCCTCTGTGGGTGGCTATGCGGCTGTTTCCAAGGCTGAGGGCAAAAGCGCCAGCCAAGGCATTGTAGGAAGCTGGAGGATCTGAAGCCTGCGCCAAAGGCTCAAACCAAGCCGGGTCGGAGCGTGGCGACCGCTGATCCCGAAAAGGGTAGCCGGCCGGGTGCCCAGCCTCGTCCAGGGCGTGACGTCACCTGGCTCGCCCCCGCCGGAGGACACTGCGCCCCCTTGCGACCGAGCCAGCTCCGGTCCCATCCCACCTCCATTAACCGCGGCGGCCACTGAGTGGGGGCTGGCTTGGGGCACACCGCTGCTCTGATTGGTGTGCTCTCATCTGTGTTCGGAGTGGTGAGAGATAAACAAAATACGGCTGGTTTTTAACTGAGGGACTGTACATGTTTGTAATGATTGTAAATGCTGTAATAGAGCTCAAGAGAGTGAGTAGGGAACTAGAGGCTTAGAGGACATCTGGATCTGAACCTCCAGGGAAGCGTGGACTCTCAGAGCTGGGAGTGGAGGAGCGGAAGAGGCTTCCCGATAGGGGGTTCAGCAGGAGTGAAGTTCGGGCCATGTGCAAGTTCCTCGAGGAACATGTTCCTCAGGGAACAAAGAGATCACGTGGCCCGCGTGGGGTGGGGGTAGTCAGAGCTAAGGCTGGAAAGACAGACCCAGAGTATGCAGGGCTCTAAGTAATTTCAGCTTCACTGAGGACTTTTAAAGAGGAGCGATGGGTCTGTGCTGTTCTTTTCTTCCTTGGTGTATTTAATATGAGTAGGTGCTGGGCATTGTGCACAGTGCTGAAGCAGATAAAAACTGAGCAAGACATGAACGTGGCTGGTGAGGAGCTTACAGATTAGGTGAAGAGGCAGAAGCATATATAAATTGGTCTTGAGGTTAAGAAGAAAACTCAAGACATACAAGGTACCACTTTTGGAATTAGCACAAAGGCAGGGCCGACTGATTCTCATAGTAAAAGTGGCTTCTCAGCTGGGATGTGAAGGATAAGGTGGAATTCATGAAGGGTTATCTGGGAAGGGGGAAATATGTGAGCAAGTCAGGAGTCCTGAGGGTGCCAAGCCTAGCTGGAGACTCAGGTGTGGCTGCAGTGTGCCAGAGGCAGGGGCCAGGCTTGGAGGGCCCTGAATGTCATTCATAGAAGTCTTCGTAGGTAAAGCGACTGCTTCATCAGCCTTGCAGTTCTCCAGTGATGAAGCAGAACTTTAGATAGTTGTGACAATTCAACTGCAGGGCAGGAGCCTTGTGCAAGTGTTGAAGGGAGAGAGGAACACAGGTAATAAATATACAGACATTTCACAGGGAAGTGTCCACATTTCCTTGGGGACTGGGAAAGATCAGGGACCAGGAATTGTGAGCCTGTGGTCAATTTCACCTCTTTACAAGCAGCAGCTGGTACTGGCAGCCCAATGTGGGGGGCTTCAACCTGGGGGCGAAGGAGGGAGTGGTTTCTGATCCTGCTCCCAGTACCCCACAAAAGACTCTGAGTGACTGTGTGGCCACTGCCACTGTTGCTCCCCACATGAGTGCAAGGTAAGAACGGGTTTTAGTAAAGAAAATGCCATTGGAGATGAGGATTTGAGACAAAAGTGTGTGTGAAGCATTTTTAGCAAACCTATTATATTAAAATCTGAATTCACAAACCAGATCCATGGTGGGGAGAGGCGGATGAGGCAGTTTGCTTTACTTTACAGAAGGGTTCATTACTCTCTTAACTCTTAAGTACTTAGATTACATGTCCATTCCCACTGGAAAATCAGATCAAATTTATAAAAACTCCATTCACAGCTTCCCCTGACAACTCCAATCATCCAGACTATGGGTGCATGCAGTGCATAATGGCATCAAGCCTTCCCCCGACACCTTCTCGCATCAGCTGCACAGAGACCAAGTCCCACCCCTCATCTTGTAGGGAGGGAAACTGAGACACAGTGTGGGGAAGGGGCTGCTCAGGGGTTCCATACCAGGGTCCTCCCAACAGGAGGAAAGGGCACAGACGCTGCTGTCACGCAGGCCTATGCTCTAATTGTCGTTGGCCAGGCTGAGCTCAGCAGAGTGACTTTCCTGTCTTAGCTTTAGTTTCCTCTGTAAAATGGGAGAACAGTCCCCCTTAGCACGGCTGCAAGAATTAAAGAGAAAAGATGCCAGCCTGTTGACACGTAGTACGTGCTCAAGACAGTTAGTGACTAAGGCTGACTCCAGTGCTTCTGAGCGCCTCCCTCACCCTCGCCCCTGATCCAAACAAGCAAAGCACCGACACACTGACTCTGTGTCCAAATGTTGCTTTATCTTTCGGCAGGAAAGATCTTCACAGTATCAAAAGTAAAGAATTGAAAAAAAAAAGTAAAACAAAAAACCAAACACAAAGAGCAGTGTTGGGCCAGCAGTACCATCAGCCCCCAAGCCCACAGGCCAGCCCAGCCCCCGGGGCTCTCAAGTGTGGAGGCCGCGTAGCACCAGGAAGCGCTCTGCAAAGGTCCTGAGGGGCCCCAGCACGCGTGGCATCCGTTCAGCTTTTGGTTGGTCCGAGATGGCAGGGACTGGGGAAGTCTCGGGCAGGTGGGTGGGGATGTGGAGGAGAAAACTGTAGACCTTCAGCTGGCAGTCGGGGTCTCAGAACACCCTGAAGAAGCTCATCTGGCAGAGGCTGAGAAAACAGAGGGCATGGCCACATGGTGAGCAATGGTCCCACCCCGGCCTCCCCGCGCTGGCTCTGGGTCTCCACACGGAGGCAGGAACAGTGACCTGCTCTTTTTGTTCCCCGGGATGAAAACACTGAACAGACTTTCTCCATCACCTCCAGCAGACGATGAAGGTTAAGACCCAGTTGGGGGACGGAGCCCTGGTCCCAGTGAACATTGTCCTAAATTGCAAGGAATGTGGGAACAATCCTCGAGGAGCCCATGACCCTCTGCTGCAGCACATCTCCCAGGCCAGGATGGAGGAAGAGCCCAGCCTCTGGCATGTGCTCGCCTGGTGACAGACAGTGGAGACTTCACCTATGCACTCAGACTGCTGCCTCAGGCTCCAGTACAGAGCCCGGGGTGGGTCCCAAGGCTGGGCCAGCACTGCTCCCTCATGCACCACCCGGGGCTCACAACCACACTCTGAGGAGGGTAGAAAAGGTCGAAGGAGAGCACTTATTGGTGGGGAGCATCCCTTATCTTAGGAAAGCAATTAGCCGAGAGCAGGTGGGGAGAAAATGGCTGTGAGGTTTCCTAGACGATGGGGTACTGCACTGTGGGAGGAGGGGCAACAGATCAAAGTGTGTGGGGTCCCTGTAACTCCTGGTTCCTGTGGAGCTGAAGAAGAAAGGCAAGAAGGCACCCTGGCCTTGGCGGAAGCTCCTGCAGGCAGGGACATCTCGGTCTGACAAAGCATCAGGGAGCTCAGGCCCACAGGGCAGAGGAGCCGAGGCAAGTCTAAGGACAGTGCTGACTCGGGGGTAGCACAAGGGAGCCAAGGGAGCCACAGGGAGCCTAGCCCTGAAGACTGCCCCTGGGAAGCTGAGGCCAGTGCCAAGGTGGAGCCAGGGGAGATCTTGACCCAAAAGGGGAATGGGGGACTCTGCCACGGGTCCAGGAAGTCTGTTGCCCTGGCACTGGAGAGAGGAGGAGGTGAGGATACCTCCTGGGGGAGGGGTCTGGGAGGGGGTCCCTGAGCTCAACCTCAGCCCACCTGCCCCAGCTTCCTATCGCTTTAAGGGCAGCTGTGTGGATGCCAGACAGAATAAGAAAATGCCTGACCCCAGGGACGTAGCTTAGTGCCGAGTGTGGCACTGCACAGCCATTAAGCCCCAAGACCAGGACCAAGGCCAGCAAGCCAGCTTTCTCCTCTGCCCTCAGTTCTCAGCCCACCGCCTACTACCTTCAGCCCAGAACACCATCTGATATATCAGTATTTCACAGAGAGGACTCCTGCAGGTGGCTGGGAGGGGAGGCCAGGGCCCCGCTGGCAGCCAAGCTCTTTCTTCTTCCAGGAGGCAGCGTTGCTACCTACTTCCTCCTGGAACCCGCCCTGTTTGGGGAGTGGGCCCACCAATTCCTTCACGCCTAAATGACCTCCGAGGCCTTGGTTAGCTTGGCTGACCTCTCGCTGCTCCCTCAACGTTGGCCCCTTTTTGTATGGCTGTAGCTGGGAAGCACCCTGGTAGTTTGTATGGCGGAGCCAGGCCAGGCCAAGTGAGATTCAACCCTGAGGCTGATCATGTCAGGGGTGGGGGCAGCCCTCTGAGGCCCACGGCCGCCTGGGCACTTTGGGAGGCAGCTGGTAAGGAAAGTAGAGGCCCGGCAGTGACACCCCAGGGGACAGCAGTGCAGAAGGAACCTTCAGGAACACAGGAAGTGGGGGCTCTCAGGAGAAGAGGTAGGGCCTGCCAAGCCCCAGTCCAACCCCCTGTGCCCCAGAGCATGAAATGGCCCAGCAGGGACACAGAAAGTGGCAAGAGTGTGGGAAAGAAGGGTTGCACGCAACACAGTCTATACCTCACTGAGCTGTGCTGGGAGTGGTTTTCTTGAGGCTGAAGTTGGTCCAGTTCACAGCAACCTTCTGACGTGTCTGCTTTGCAGAATCCAAACAGAACCTGTCGGGTTTGGCAGATGCCAGGGAAGCACAATCAGAGGTTCCCTCCCCTCCCTGCTGGTCCCTCTTCTAGACGCATGTGTCCTGGTCACTAAAGAAAACAGGTCAGCTCTGCACAACCTCTCTGGCTCCCAGGTGTTGGCATGGGGACTTCCTGGACGAGGCACCTACAAACCCAGGGAACAGTGTGGAAGAGTGACACTGCCTCAGGACACAGCCTCCTCCCCCAGAGTTTAACTCTAGCTGTGCTGGGATGCCTTCTGTTCCCCACAGACAACGTGATTCTTTTGCTCTCAAACCCTGTATGTGCTGGCCCCACTGTCATGAACGCCCTTTCCATTTTACCTGGCTCCCTCATTCCTCTTCCTCAGGTTTCAGCTGGCTGCCGCCTCTCCTGGGAGGGCTGCCCTGACCACCGCCAGGCCCTAGCCCTGTGCCCTTACTCCTCTAAGGACACTCACTCATCACTGGACTGTATGTTTGTGGCTCTCCCCCCATCTGGACAGACTGTGTTTTATTGCCTCTGCCCCCAGAGCTCAGCCCAGGCAGAGCAGAGGAAGTGCAGGTGATAAACCTGGAGAAAGCCCTGGTTCTTGGGGCCTGACACGCCTCCTGCTTTCCGTCCCTTGTACCTTCCCAGGTGACCTGTCCTGCGGGATCATCCCGGCTGCCTGCGTTGCAGCACACAGGCCGGTGGGAGAGCCGGGAGGGCCTGGAGCAGCTCTCCCTGCAAGGGCACAGGGCTGAGGGCGAGACCTTGGTGTGGGTGGGTCCTGGCGCCCACCGTGAGCGGCACAGTGGGCGGGCCCCACACCTACCTCTTGAAGTACTCCACCTCCCGGTCAGTCTCATCCATCTCCACCCCTTCCACGTCCTTGGGCAGGAACACATCGTCTAGGAAGACACAGCCAGGAGGGCTCAGGGCGCACAGCCAGGCCCCTGGGATCACGCTCTCAGGGCGGTGCTGCTCACCCGTGAGGACTGCCCTCCGCCCCGTGGCCTGGCTGGGTGGGGGAGCAGTCGCTCGGTTCCTGGCGCACTCACCCCAGGAGGAGGCTGGCTTCTCCTGCTTGTGGCGGCTGCGGCGGCTCCGGCCCTTGCCCTGCGGCAAGCTCTGCGGCCTTGCTGGGCCCGGGGGCTGCACAGACTCCTGCTCCCGAGGCCGAGCTTTGGCCTCGCCTGGCCAGTTTCGCCAGGAGCTGCCCTTCTCCTTGTCAGCTTTGGGGCTGCCAGCCCAGCCTGGTCCTGGTCGGGTCCCCCGGTTCCCCTCTCCAGCCTCGGCACAGGTGCCCACTTTGGGAGGCTCTGGGGCCTTGCCTGGCTGCCTGGGGTTGGGGATCTGGCCCTTGGCACTGGGAGCCTCCAGGCAGGCTGGGGACTGGGGCGCTGGGCTCACTTCACTCTTCTTGGCCTGACTGCCCTGTCTCTTGCCCTTCCGTGGCTTCCCACCTGAGGCCACTGGCTCAGGCAGCTCCTGCTTGCAACTGGGGACCTCCTTGGGGCTTGGCTCCTCAGAGCTGGGGTGTCCTGGCTTGGGTGTCTTGACCCAGATCACCCGGGACAGGCTGGGCACGGTGTTGAGTCTCCTTACTAGCCCATTCTCAGGGGTGATTCCGGGAGGGGGGCCCCTCACCTCCATCCACGGTGGGTGAGGACTTCTCATTTCTGCCCACGGTGGGGCCGGCTCGCCTGGAGCTTGTAACATGTGGTTCTGAGGGGAGCCCAAAGTCAAAGGGGACAGGTCAAGGTTGATGTCAGGCCGTTGCTCTGAGGAGCCACTGAGGTTTGAGGGGGGCAGACCTGGGGGCTCGGGCTCAGCGGCCCCCTCCTTAGAGAAGCCATCGCTGTCCATGCTGAGCTCACACACACTGAGGCTGGCGCGGATGGAGTCCTTGACAGTGTTCTTGATCTCCTGTAAACGGCTGCTCAGAAAGTTGTTGACCCGATCCAGCTCCCGGTCGGGCCACTCCAAGAGCCTCTCCCTGGCAGGCCTCAGCTCCCGGCTTCCAGAAACACTACGATTCGCCTGCTTTAGAGCTTCTGCTGCCAACTGGGCCTTCTCCTTTTCCTGCCAATACAAGAGGCAGTTTCAGAAGAGGCCAGGCAGCTGCCAGGAACAACGTGACACCTGACATGTCTGCCACAGGCCCAGCTTGGCCACTAACTGGCTAGAGGCAGGGCCTCGCAAGCCTGGCCTGCTCACCCAGGCTGCAGTGGTGAGGATGAACTACAACCAGACAGGCACTTGTCCTGAGGATGGAGGCAGTGACACCCGCACAGGGAGGGGCTTTTACAGCTTGTTCACCCAGGGCCCGGGGCCAGTCCTAAGGCCTGAGCAGCCTGGTCTCACAGGGATAGGAATGCAGCAAACCGACCTTGCCTACCAGGCATATGCTTAAGCAATTCACTCACTGGCTGAGTCCCAGTGGACTCACCCACAACCTGGAGACAGGAACTCTGGAGTGAAGACCAGAGCGGGGAGGCACGTAAGGAAGGTGGCTGATACAGAGGTCGTCTCTCCAATTCTGCAGGCGGTAGGGGGAAAAAGCCATGACGCCATGCAGGTCTTTCAAGAAGGAAGATTGGGGCTGAGAGACTGCCACAGTAGGTCAGATTGCCCTGGGGGGCCAGGAACGCGCATGCCCCCGACGCCCTGTGTAGGCGCTACTGGAGAGGGCCAAGCTCCCACAGGAGGACCACTCGCTTAGTTGGCCTCAAGTAATCAAGGCCACATGCCTAACGTGTGTCCAATGGCGTACAAGGGACAGTCCCAGGGGGGCCCCACCACAGCAAGCTGTGAAAGCAGCCCCTCTGCCCAAGTAAGGACCAGGAGGCTGGACCCTGCCACTCAGCGCTGACAGAGCAGACCTGAGAGTGAAATCAAGTCTGTG